ATACACTTTGTATCGGATCTCTACAGGATCCCATACGGTCTGTATCGGATCTCTACAGGATTCCATACAGTCAGTATCGGATCTCTACAGGATCCCATCCAGTCTGTATCGGAGCTCTACAGGATTCCATACAGTCAGTATCGGATCTCTACAGGATTCCATACAGTCAGTATCGGATCTCTACAGGATCCCATACAGTCTGTATCGGATCCCTACAGGCTCCCATACAGTCTGTATCGGATATGTACAGGATTCCATACAGTCAGTATCGGATCTCCACAGGATCCCATACAGTCTGTATCGGATCTGTATAGGATCCTACCCAGTCTGTTTCGGATCCCTACAGGCTCCCATACAGTCTGTATCGGATCGGTATAGGATCACATTCCCTCTGTATCGGAGCTCTACAGAATTCGATACAGTCTGTATCGGATCTCTACAGGGTTCCATCCATTCAGTATCGGATCTCTACAGATCCCATACAGTCTGTATCGGACAGTCAGTATCGGATCTCTACAGGATCCCATACAGTCTGTATCGGATCTGTATAGGATCCTATACAGTTTGTATCGGATCCCTACAGGCTCCCATACAGTCTGTGTCGGATCTGTCTAGGATCCCATACAGTCTGTATCGGATCTCTACAGGATCTCATGCAGTCTGTATCGGGTCTGTGTAGGGTCCTATACAGTCTGTATCGGATCTGTGTAGGATCTATACAGTCTGTATCGTATATGTATAGGATCCTATACAGTCCGTGGATCTGTGTACGATCCTATACAGTCTGTATCAAGTCTGTATAGGGTCCTATACAGTCTGTATCGGGTCTGTATCGGATCCCATACACGCTGTATCGGATCTCTACAGGATCCTATACAGTCTGTATCGGATCTGTGTAGGATCATATACACATTGTGGTTGCAGCCCGGGGGGGCTATTCGATCTGGCCGATCAGCCGATCAGCCGATCAGACGCAGACCAGCCGATCAGCCGATCAGCCGATCGGCCGATAAGAGTGATCGGCTGATCGGCTGATCGGCTGATCGGCTGGTCGATCGCTTACCGGCTGATCGGCTGATCGGCTGATCGGCTGGTCGATCGCTTATCGGCTGATCGGCTGATCGGCTTATCGGCTGGTCGACCGCTGATCGGCTGATCGGCTGATCGGCTGGTCGACCGCTTATCGGCTGATCGGCTTCTGCCTCCTCCTTTTCCTCAGCTGCCTCCCCCTTTTCTTCCTCCTCCTCTTCCTCAGCTGCCTCCTCCTCCTCCTCCTCCTCCCTCTCGTTTTCCTCCCCCTTCGTTGTCTCTCCTTCTCCCTCCTCCTCCGTCTCTCCTCCCCCTTGCAGGTCGACCGCTTATCGGCTGATCGGCTTCTGCCTCCTCCTTATCCTCAGCTGCCTCCCCCTTTTCTTCCTCCTCCTCTTCCTCGGCTGCCTCCTCCTCCTCCTCCTCCTCCTCCTCCTCCCTCTCGTTCCCCCCCCCCCCTTCGTTTTCTCTCCTTCTCCCTCCTCCTCCGTCTCTCCTCCCCCTTGCATTTCTGCGCGCCTCCTCCTTCGGTTACTTCTGCTCACCCTCCTCCTCATGTCTTCTTCCTTCTCGTTCTCTCCCTCCTCCTACTCCTCCTCCTCCGCCTCCTCCGCCTCCTCCCCTTCCTCCTCCTCCTCCTCCTCCTCCTCCTCTTCCTCCTTCTCCTCCTCCCTATCATCTTCGCATTCGTCCAGTTCATCCTCTCCCTCTTCCTCATCATCATCATCATCATCGTCAGCATCATCATCATCATCGTTATCATCGTCAGTATCATCATCATCATCTTCACCCCTCATCGCCCTCCCAAGCCTTACCTCAGGAGTTTGGCCCAAATGGTGCTTAATCGAGTGAGGTGCTGTCCCCATCGGGGCGGGGATGGCCCAGACAGTAAACACCAGGCACGACGTTGCGTGGACGCCGATGGGAATCCATGCTGTCGCGCTCATGGAGGGCATGAGCTTCCAGGACATGGGTGTGAAAATGCCACAGAGCATGCCAATTTTTTTTGTTATATATATATATATAGATAAATCCAACCCCTTGCTTTGTTCCACCCATTTTTTGCCGCGGCTTCTTCTTTTTTTCAGCGGCGCCGCGTGCAGGACACAGGCTTGACGGACTTCGCAGAGGGCCGATGAACATCCGCGAGCGCGTCTCGGAGCTGGCCGCTTATGCCAACGCCGCAGCGGTCAGCACGGTGGAGAAAATTCACGGGGCAGCCGCCGCCGAGGCCTTCTTTGAGAAGGTGTGCGTGGACCCGGCCGTGTTGCAGTTACTCCAGGACGCGGTGAAACGGAAACAAGGGGTTCGGTTTTTTTTGGCCCGGTGTTTAGCTGGATTTCCGTGCCGAGTGTGCCCCTTGCGCTCAGAGTGGTGGTGGCGTGAAACACAGTGTTGTCTTCCAGCGCCGCGCCTTTTTTTTTTTTTTTTTTTTTTTTTTTTTTTTTTTTTTTTTTTTTTTTTTTTTTTTTTTTTTTTTTTTTTTTTTTTTTTTTTTTTTTTTTTTTTAAATATATATATATATAATATAATATATATTATATATATATAAAGAGAAAATATTTTATATTTTCTTTTTTTCCCGTTTTCTGGCAGGGCCCGCAGTGGTCGTCAGACCACGCGCGGGGGGAATGTAACTATCAGATGAACAACGCTGACATGTTTCTGTCCAGTGAGTTCATTGGTGCACGCTTGGAGGTGCAGCTACTCGCTGTGTGGTTGGCGCGGTTGCGGTTCAACTGCGACGGCGGGGTCGGGCGCGCCCGGGCGACGTATCGCGAGGAGTCGGGCGGCGACGTGGCGGAGGGTCGCGGCTTGGATGTCGTTGCCTTTCAGCTCGCGTCTAGACTGCGCGGTGGTGCAGGCGTGCCCGCGGTACCAATGCCATCTGTTCACAGCAGGGGCGAAGCGTCTGGGCGTGCGCTTGGGCAAGGAGGCCGACGGCGAGGGCCAGTTGCGCATGCTGGGTAAGATGCTCGACTCGCTATTGCGCTCTAGTGCTTTCTCGCGCGCCCCCAGGGCGCTGGAGGCAAGGTACCTACTACTAGTACTTACTACTAGTACCTACTACTAGTACCTACCACTCGTACCTGCTACTAGTACCTACTACTAGTACCTACTACTACTAGTACCTACTAGTAGTAGTACCTACTACTAGTACCTACTACTAGTACCTACTACTAGTAGTACCTACTACTAGTACCTACTACTCGTACCTACTACTACTACCTACTACGAGTACCTACTACTAGTACCTACTACTAGTACCTACTATTACTAGTGCCTACTACTACTACTACCTACTACTAGTACCTACTACTAGTACCTACTACTAGTACTTATTATTACTAGTACCTACTACTAGTAGTACCTACTACTAGTACCTACGACTTGTACCTACTACTAGTGCCGACTATTCGTACGTTTTTTTTACTAGTACTTACTACTAGTACCTACTACTAGTGCCTACTACTAGTACCCACTACTAGTACCTACCACTCGTACCTGCTAGTACCTACTACTAGTACCTACTAATACTAGTAGTACCTACTACTAGTAGTGCCTACTACTGGTACCTACTACTAGTACCTAATACTAGTACCTACTACAAGTACCTACTACTAGTACCTACTACTAGTAGTACCTACTACTAGTACCTACTACTAGTACCTACTAATAGTACCTACTACTACCTACTACTAGTAGTACCTACTACTAGTACCTACTACTAGTACCTGCTACTAGAACCTACTATTACTAGTACCTACCACCAGTAGTGCCTACTACTAGTACATGCGACTTGTACTTACTACTAGTACCGGCTACTCGTACCTACGACTAATACCTACTACTAGTACCTACTACTAGTACCTACTACTAGTACCTACTACTAGTACCTACTACTGGTACCTACTACGAGTACCTACTACTAGTACCCACTAGTAGTACCTACTACGAGTACCTACTACTAGTGCTTACTATTAGTACTACTGCTACTAGGACCTACTACTAGTGCTACTGCTACTACTACCTACTACGAATACCTACTACTAGTACCTACTACTGGTACCTACTACTCGTACCTACTACTCGTAGTACCTACTACTAGTACCTACTACTAGTGCCCACTATTAGTACTACTGCTACTACTACTGCTACTACTACTACTACTACTGCTACTGCTACTGCTACTGCTACTGCTACATCCACTACTATTTTATTTCTTCTTCTGTTACTTTTTGTATTACCGCTACGACTACCAGTGCTGGGCTACGGCAGTGTCTGTTTTCATCGTGTTTGTGGTTGGCCTCGTGAGGCTGGCAAATCGTTCGACGGCGTGTTGGGCGGGGGGCCCCTGATCCAGGCGAGAAGATCGTGGCGACGTTCCAGGCAAGCATGGGCGCTGATGCCAACGGAGCCGCGGACCTTCGACGATTCCTGCAGTTGCCGAACGCGTCGAAGTGCCGCCTTTGGAAGAAGGAGTTCGGCGCGTGCCCCCCGCGGGGAATGGTGTCGCGCATCGCGCGGCGTTCTGGGGTTCAAGTGGATTCGTCCATGGCCTTTCGCGGGCGCGCCTCCCCGAAGCAGTTCAAGGCGGAGGTCCGTAGAAAGGCCAGGTGGTGCAAACCTGGCCGCCGCTCCACCCGTAGGCGTCGGGGAATAATCCAGTGGCCTTGGGCCTAGCCCGCCGCCGCGCCTGGGCTAACGGATGTGAGCTGCGAGTTCGTGGTTAACCCCTTGCGAGATCCCTTGGAGACAATTCCTTCGCCCCTCACGGCATCTGCAGCAAATTGTGGCGCCTCTTTGGAGCCTCTTGGTGGCCTCTCCTGGGCCTCCTGGAATTCCCCGGGGGTCTCTTGGGAAGCCCATAGGCGGTCCGGAAGATCATTTGGGGCCTCTTCGGGCGGGAGAGAGGAATAGTCGACGCGCCCAGTCCGCGCCGCGGGGCGCGGCGGCGGATCCGCGACAAGAAGCAGCCCGAGCGGGTCCGTGGCCTTCGCAGCGTCTGGGCCGCCAAGGTCTGGGCGCATTACCGTCGCCTCTTGAAGCCCCTGCGAGTTGAGGGCCTGTGGGCG